CTACAGTGTGAAAGACGCCTGACCTTTTATGAGAGCATTTCTCATTTTCTCGCACACGCTGTGCAGTTTTGGATTTATTGAGATAGAGGCAGATGCCTTCGGGCTCAGTCCGCTCAGGAGAGAAATAAATTCAACATCTTCAAAATGGTAACAGGCCAGTTGCCATGACAGCAAGTCTCACTATCCTGCAACAAGGACAGAGGCAAAAGCTCAAAGGCTCAGTGTGTGGAATTTAGTGACATCTTGAGGTGAAGTTGCATGTTGCAGCTGAATACTCATCATTTCACCCTTCCCTTCCAAACACGAAAGAGAACCTGTGGTGAACTTCAGTTGTCACGAAAACTCAAAAGGTTTTAGTTTGTCCAGTTTGGACGACAGTAAAAAACATGGCGGCCTCCACAGAGAGGCCCCCCCTTCATGTAGATATAAGGGTTTTAGATATAAAGGGCTCATCTATGGTAAAGAAAGCAACAATTTAGATGATTACACATGACCAGTGAAAACATAACTAGGGTTATTTTATTTTCAATTTCTGCCAAAGTCTTACACACTGGACCTTTAAGTCTCGGTTTGACTCATCAACTCCTCACTTCCAGGTCTGCAGCGGCTCTGTTCCAAGGAGACAACCTATGCACAGTAAAAGTACCAGTCATATCCAAAGTGACAGCATATAAGACACTGGTCGTGCTAAAAGTCCTTGTCCATCAGAATCTCGGTTTTTATTGACGTGAACAAGTCTCATTTCCAGATGACAGAACTCTTTCCCGTTCACAGATGGAGGAGGCGAGTCGAAGGGGCTCAGCAGGGTGGTGGCTAGCTGCTTCTAATTTACTGTGCACAGCGGTCTGTCACTTGTGCCAAGCCAGTCTTAATGACAAGATGCCAGAATGAGCGTGTTACCAGGAGCTGTAATTCCTGCCAAGCACAGAAAGGAAGTGGAGATCACGCTAGTTATTTTTTACTGTAACAGACACGTCTGCATTTCATGGCCCAGATCGTTAAGATAAAAGCTATAATTAAATGTACATGAGAGCTGGCATATGCAGGTACAAACCAAAGACTGTACACATGCATTTCCGCATATACTCTATTTGTATCTCTCATTTCTGAGCTTGAACATTTAAATACAAATACCTGCATGACTTGCTCTGGCTGAAGTGAAAGTCTGCAGCTCTGGGTTGATTTACAGCTCAAGGGACTAGTGTTTGAAAAGTCAATAACAATCTTAGGAGACAGAGACGAACTGTGGACCCCCTGAATTATCCCAGGATAACTCTACACAAACATACATGGAGTACTTTTTCAGCCATATATGTACAATATGGTGTACAACTTGTTCCTGGATGTTTTCTTATGATCTCTTAATGTGGCCGTGAGGGGAAACCAAGTACGTAATCAAGAGGAATTCCTGAGGCTCCCTTCAGGATTGATTGGTAAATTTGGGGTTGTGTTTAAAAAGCCTGCTGTCCCAAACACAGCGTGGGACCGTTTCCAGTCAGACAGTTTCTCGAGCTGTTGTCTTTAATTACGGTCACGTTGTAAAAATAGAAACAGTGACTGTATGATTCTGTGGTGATTTTGTTTCTGTTTCTGTTTTAGGATCGGTAAGATAAAGATCACTGTTGAGAAAAAGAAATATGGGGCCCGAGCACCGTCTTGGCACATTCACAGTTTTTGCAAACAAATACAGTAAACAACACACATACATTCTTCACTCTCATAGCAGTTGTTCATATTGATCGCTAATTAAAGCTGCGCTCAAATCATGTTTAAAATGAATCATTTGCGTGTGTAACGTGAAACAGAATTATCACCTCACACTCACTTCTTCTCTGCTCTAAAAGCATTGAAGTGTCTTTTAGCTCAATGTTTCGGTTTGAGGGCCACTAACTTTAATGTTTGGTTGACTCCCTTGGCTCTCACCAACCTTTACAGCCACTGCTAATGCTATCAGAGAGAAAATACACTTTGCACCAAAGACACAGTTATGCAGCTAGCTACTGATCAGCCAGGGATTTGCCTGCAGGGACAGCTAGCTAACGAACAGCCAGCTAGTTGTTTGTTGATGTAATCAGCTGTTCGCTAGCAAGAAAAAAGTTGGCTGGTTAGCTGTACGCCTACACAGCTGTAGGCTGCACGGACATTAAAAACAAAACAGAGACAAAATTATAAGAAATCTTTTTAAATCAGAAACCACAGTTAAACTCAATTTTCAAAAAGAATAAAATACATTTTGTATGAAATATGTGAAGAGATTCAAAGACGTAAAACAAATGAAAAAGGATCAATCAGTTTAAAAAAGTGAAAATAAGTACAGGTAGTAAAGATTGGTTGTACGCTGGATGCCAAGAATGCTAACTCCAGATGTCTCCGTCTTGAGTTTGCTAACACTTAATTAGGTTTAAAAATGGGTCACACAGTATTTGTGCTTGCTGCTTGTTCTGCTGCCCCAAGTGGACATAAAATCACATCGTTCTTGATTTCATTTGAGCAGAACGGAATATGAATTTCTGAAATAAGATTAGCTGCGAAAGAAATCCTTTCAGCTAAAGGCTATCTATAAGAAGAGACCATCTTTAATGAAATGAACCTATTCTCAATTGTTTACTGTATGATCCGAACATGGGAACTTTCTCCCTTCACAGTTTCACTGACTTCTCTTTCTGTGACATGTCGCATAATCCTCTGTGTGTGAAAACAGAGGATTGTGAAAAATATAGCTCTAGTTTTTGCAGCTGCAGGATTATTCTTCCGCTGCACACACAGTTTAACAAGTTAGTCGAGCACTAAGCTACATTGATTTCTGCCTCAACCTATTTATCAGGACCTCTCGTTAAGCCACACTCACTCGTTTAAAGGGTCGCCCTAAATGGAAAGTAATGAACTAACGACTTGTGTCTTGAGACGCCTCCTGACAATGTAGTACCATATATGGGCATTTGCCTTATTCTGTGTGTGTGTGTGTGTGTGTGTGTGTGTGTGTGTGTGTGTGTGTGTGTGTGTGTGTGTG